TCTACAAGCTCACGCTCACACGCACACACACAATATAGTTTCATACACACACATCTCAAACACATCTACACGCTCACGCACACACATCAACATCACACTCGTGCAGGTGTTGGCGGCGGAGAAGCAAGTGTACCGTTCGCATGTGGCTGCAACCATACCCGCAGACATGCACGACGATGCAGACACTGACGGTGCCACAGAGGAAAGCACATCACCACTTCCACTTAATCCCGCATTACACAGTCTCATCACTAAGTTAATTGGGTACGAGTGCCACGTGTGAGTGTAGTCTAGAATGTGCTGGCGTGTGTATTGGGATGTAGTAAGGGTGTGAGTACATGCGATCCAAACAAAATTGGTTTTTAGGATTGGCTCCCAGTATGTATACTACCTGAAACTTCGCACAAGATGCCATACACATGGCTATATTTTGCGAACTATGCACTCCACGCCAGTGGAACTACTATAGACAACAAGGACGGTGCGTTCGAGGACAGTCACTTGTGACCTCTGTGAGCGAGGAGCTTATGCATGGTCTTCGGATCTTCAGGGCTTGCCTATAAACACCCCAATGCATCGCAAAGCTTAGACCTACCCTATGCATCTCAAAGCTTAGACCTACCTTTGTCTACCTACCAGATACGCTGACGAGGGGTTGCACCACGGGCCCTTTTCGGTTGTGTGGAAAGAGGAGTATCCCCCATCCAATGACAAGCACGATTACTTCACCCCCGCTCCCTACTTTTGGCCTGACCCCGATAAGCCCGATGGCTTGCCGTACATTCGGCGCGATGGTGTGTGTGTGTGTGTGTTGCATCATGAGTCCGACCACTCACCCAGCTGCTTTTGCATTAATGTTGAGGTGTTTTGTTTTGTACTTGGTCTGTATATGTGGACGATTTAATCAGTCGCTATGACTCACCTAGCTGCTTTTGCATTGGGATTGGGGTGTTTTGTTTTGTACTTGGTCTGTGTATGTGGATGCAGCCAGTCGCCTTGGGCGCCTGACCCCATTTAACCAGTCAGTTAAGTCCTTTATAGCCTTTTGCGCTCGCCATGATAACTTATAATGGTGCGTTATTCTCCTAACAATGGCTGTGTGTACTACACACCGTTACAGGTTTTATTCCGAACTTCAGTTGATCTTAAATAGCCACCGCTTTCCAACGGAGGGTAATCATAGCCTTCTCTGACTCGATGCATATTCAGCTGAAATAGTCTTTTGTTCCGAACTTCAGTTGATCTTAAGTAGTCCCCGCTTTCCTACGGAGGGTAATCATAGCCTTCACTGACTCGTTGCATATTCAGCTGAAAAAGGCTTTTGTTCCGAATTGTCGGGCGTCGTTGCCCATCGATCTGCATTGCCCGAATGTCTTTCTGTAGCGGACTATACACGACGTCAACATGTGTTAAATTCAGTCACTTCCCCGCTCACTCACTCCTCACCCCACACCTGCAGGGGAGAGAGTGCCCGGTACCGAACTGTACGACGCCTTCAGTAACCGCTACGATCGTAGTCGCATCGCAAGCATGTTTGGTAACACCACTGTACTGACCCTGGCTTTCTACTTCACTGACGACGTCAAGGTGAGTGTGGCAGTGAGATGTGTATGGTAGCGTGTTAGAGAATGTCTGTCACAGATCTGCGCAGCCCTCGAACATACTTCACCATTGGCGTTATCTCGAACACGGTATGTGTGGGACTGTGGGTCCTTACTTTGGTTTGCTTTACAACACACGGACAGAGATATAGAGTAGGTGTATATATATCCACTGCGACGAAGATTACACCATTTGTGTCACACTGTACGTTAAGTAGTCTACGCTAGCAATGGTGTAGTTCGAAGTATAACATTTCGTATGAACAGGTGAATGCCGGCTTTGTTGTTTTTGTATCGGGATTGGAACGACTTCTATCCCGGGGGATAAGCAGAGACCACACACAACAGCACAAACTGATTACACCATGGGCGTACGTAGTTGTCGAGTCGCTCTGTATAGCTTTGGGCAGAGTTGCACAAGCATGAGCAAACACATATGTCTATCACAAGCATGAGCAAACACACATGCTTATACTTCACACATATATACCAATGGATTGCTTCCTGCTATCATAATATGTACCTCTCGTGCTCTGGCCTGACAATCGCGTTCGTTCTGGCTGGCAAGTACTAGCAGGTTAGAGTGTTCACTCTCTTCGTAACATAGGTACTTACCACAGAGGCATCTCGAAACGTCCTGCTCACAGTACGGTGAGAAAGCGGCCGAGAACATTCGCGTGTGGTTTATCAATCCCGAGACGCGCATGAATCCCAATATGCGGTATGCACAGATTCAACGCGGCAGCAATGGCGATGTGGGTATGTAGTACAGATCATGTGCTTATACTGATGTAAGCGGGTTGTGTAATAGTATAGTACGCATTTACCTACCTGATATTAGCGGCCTGCAGTAAAGTAAGCTACCTATCTGATGTTAGCGTCCTAGCCATGCTACTTCTTTTCACGCGACCTTGTGCACACCTTGACATGCCTTTGCTTTGTAACATATTGCGAAACGCACATGCGCCACTGTGTTGTGTGTTCACATACATGCATGTATTGTCTTCAGTACACACTTTATCTGGTTGTTGTTCTATCGAAAAAGGGAGCCTGTGTTGCAAATTCCGTCACAGTTGAGGGTTTTATTTTAGCATGATTGACATACACATTCAGGTATGGTGTGTGGCAGGCAGTATTTATTCTATACACCACATGGTAGGTGGAATGACACATACATTTCTCAGCGTTACAACGTGGCGAGAATTCTCCGGTAACACGATAGCTGTGTGTTCATCAGACCCGACGAGTATCTTGATATGTCGTGTGATATGTTAACTGTATACTTTGTTGTTCTTATGACGTATGTTCACCTCCAGTATCTTGATATGTCGTGTGATACGTTTTCTGTGAACTCTATTGTTCTTTCATGACTTATGTCCATCTCTAGTAGCTCCAACGAGAATTATACGGGCATACTTACAAGCTAGTCAGCACGCCCATGAGCGAGCAACTCCTGACCATTGGTGGATGTTTGTACGCACATTGCAGGGGCCAGTTTTGGTGTGATTGAAACGAGAGACCTATTCTACTTGCTAGATATGGTGCGCATTCTTCACAAAGCCAATATTCTGACTACTGAAGAGATCGACACTCTCAAGCAATGGCTTCGCAAGTTCTCACAGTATGTGCTGGCAATGCATACGGCTCAGTGCCTTAAGAGTTTCAATTAATTCAATGTTCCGTGTCTCACTAATTTCGATTCGCATTCTTTCAGTGCTGTGGTCGTGTGTTTTATTGAAGAAGTCTTTGATTAGGTACACCCTCTTCTTGGAACGCCGGGACATTTCCATTCCCCCCCATGCAATATGTCGTATCAATTTAGTGGTGTGTCGCTCATACTTTCAATAAACAAAGTCCATGTGTAGATCGTGATCTATACATTTTGCTTTTCAGCTATTCTTGGTGTTTAATATAAATTCCCGCTTGTGTATGTTAGAAAGAGGAACATATACATACCGTAGCGGAATGGCAAACCCAGTATACGCCACACGCACACACTTCCACCTCCCCAGTACAGTACATAAATGCGCTTTTACCTACTCATACGCAGGTACCTCCTGAGCTCCAATCAAGGCAGGCTGGAGTACTCCGCAGTAAACAACCACGGCACGTTCTTCGACGTACAGCTGGCGTCTATTGCTGCGTTTCTCGACGATGAAGTGATGTTTGTCAAACACTCGGCGGTCGCACGCTCGCGTATGCACACGCAATTCGCCCCCGATGGACGATTGCCTCACGAAATGGAACGACCGACTCAGCTGCACTACATGATGTTTGGTCTCATGGTGGGTGCCTTCGGATGTACCAGTGCTAATATGTTCATTTGCCTCTATCAGTTCTGCCTCTTTCATAATCGTTATCAACTAAGCTCTGTTGATCACCTGCATCGTCAATATCAGCCCCACGTTACCTATAGTAACGTATCTATTATATCCATCAGTGACCAAACAATCGTACTTATTATATCCATCAGTGACCAATCAATCGTACCTAATATATCATCCAGTAACCAATCAATCGTACCTATTATATCCATCAGTGACCAATCAATCGTATCTATTATATCCATCAGTGACCAATCAATCGTACCTATTATATCCATCCGTGACCAGTCAATCGTACCTATTATATCCATCAGTGACCAATCAATCGGACCTATTATATCCATCAGTGACCAATCAATCGGACCTATTATATCCATCAGTAACCAATC